AATTACTAGGAACCCTACAAAAGAACCTATGAATTCTCTTTAAGAGTAACAGGAATCCGTGTAACATGAAGATGAATCCTATTAAGGATTAAGAGGAGCCAATAAATTTCTATAAACAAAGTAATGTGGGCCCTTCAAAACTTAAAACAATAAGAGTCGTACTGTTAGAATTATAATAAACCCTATTAACACATTTAATTGACAGGATTGCTAATAAAACAAATGAGATTTACAATAACATTACTTCGAGTCCAATTGAAATGAATAGGGAACAGGATTTAAAAACATAATCGGAGCACTGTGGAATCTAGTAGGAATCCTATGAACATTATTAGGAATCCTGTCAACACGAATGAGAAACCCTGTTAAAATGAATACGAAGCCTATTCCAATCAATCAGAAGCCTTTTTGAATGAATAGGAAGCTTGTCAAAGCAAAAGGAACCCAATTAGAAATTGTAAGACATCTTATGAAAATGAATAAGAAGCCTATTGAAATTAATAGGAATATGTATAAAATTTGTTATGAAGCTTATTAAAATTCTAAGACGTTTATTAAAACTAACTAGGAAGAAGAATGCTATTACAATTACTCAGAATCGTATTCCAATTATTTGGCATTTGATTAAATTGAATAGGAATCAATATTAAACCCAATAAAGTCCTTTAACAGGCATCCTTTAAAATCTAATACGAACCCCATTAAACAAATACAGGAATCCCATTGCCATTGAAGATCACTTAGAATGCTAGTAAAATGATTCGGAGTCTTATTAATTAAATAAGGACTCCCGTTAAAAGTGAACAGGAGTATTATTAAAGTTAATAGGCAGCCTAAAACATAATAAGGAATCATATAAGAACCCCTGAAAAACTCTTATCAAAAATCCAGTTTCTAAAAATCCAAAAATCCAAACATCCAAACATCCACCCCAAAGGTTTTGGAAACTCGAGCGGGAGCCTCAAAATCCAAAAATCGAGCAAATTCCTCGAGTTTCCAAAATTCCAAAAATCCAAAGAAATCCACCCCAAGGTTTGGAATTTTGGAAACTCGAGGAATTTGCTCGATTTTTTGATTTTGAGGCTCCCGCTCGAGTTTCCAAAAATCCGAAACTTGGGTTGGAGTTTTTGGAATTTTGGAATTTTGGAAACTCGAGGAATTTCCTCAAAATCCAAAAATCGAGCAAATTCCTCGAGTTTCCAAAATTCCAAAAATCCAAAAACCCACCCCAAGGTTGGGAATTTTGGAAACTCGAGGAATTTGCTCGATTTTTGGATTTTGAGGCTCCCGCTCGAGTTTCCAAAAATCCAAACCTTGGGGTGGGTTTTTTTGGAATTTTGGAAACTCGAGGAATTTCCTCAAAATCCAAAAATCGAGCAAATTCCTCGAGTTTCCAAAATTCCAAAAATCCAAAAAAATCCACCCCAAGGTTGGGGATTTTGGAAACTCGAGGAATTTGCTCGATTTTTGGATTTTGAGGCTCCCGCTCGAGTTTCCAAAAATCCAAACCTTGGGGTGGATTTTTTTGGATTTTTGGAATTTTGGAAACTCGAGGAATTTGCTCGATTTTTGGATTTTGAGGCTCCCGCTCGAGTTTCCAAAAATCCAAACCTTGGGGTGGTTTTTTTTGGAATTTTGGAAACTCGAGGAATTTGCTCGATTTTTGGATTTTGAGGCTCCCGCTCGAGTTTCCAAAAATCCAAACCTTGGGGTGGGTTTTTTTGGAATTTTGGAAACTCGAGGAATTTGCTCGGTTTTAGGATTTTGAGGCTCCCGCTCGAGTTTCCAAAAAGCGGAACCCTGGGTTGGATTTTTTGGATTTTTGGAAACTCGAGGAATTTTGGAGTGGTGCTTTTCCCCCCGCCCCCTTCCTGAACAGACCGGAAATATACTTCCGGGGTCTGTCGAGGGGGGTGGGGTGACCATATATATATATACATACATACATACATATATATATATGCATATATGTGACAAGTATATGTCATTTTCGCATTTTCTTCTCTCTCTATATATATACATATATATATATACATAATTATAGATAGATAGATAGATAGATAGATAGATAGATACATAAGGCCAAACAAGTTGTAAACCCTGTAGTTATAGACACTAATACCCTGAGCGCCGGCAGCTCGAATCTGCTGCGCAGAATGCGCGCCTTTTTGCGTCTCGGCTTTGCCGAAGTCTCCCTGAATTCGGGGAACACGAATGCTATACGGATGGGTTTAGGGTTTAGGGTTTAGGGTTTAGGGTTTAGGGTTTAGGGTTTAGGGTTTAGGGTTTAGGGTTTAGGGTTTAGGGTTTAGGGTTTAGGGTTTAGGGTTTAGGGTTTAGGGTGGGGTTTAGGGTTTAGGGTTTACGGTTTAGGGAAAGCATGCAGCCTACTCACGAATGTCGGAAGTGCAGGGGGGGGCCTCTGGTGGTAAGTCGCTTTGAAAGGGGCTGTAAAGGGGTCCGAAGTTGGCTTGTGCTTGCGAAACCTCGGTTAAACATCTCTTAGCTGGCTTAGGGTTTAGGGTCAAGGGTTTAAGGTTTAGGGTTTAGGGTTTACTGAGTCCAGTGAGGCCCCTCCCTGTATGGCTCGGAAACTGTGGCCGCGCGGATTGGAAACTACTGAACAGAGCCTGGGCAGGGAGACAAGCTGTCCTTTCGTGTATCCTCGATAGTCTCCCAAACCGTACGGCCATAGTTGCCAAAAAACCTAAACTCTAAGCCCTAACCCTGAACCCAAACATCTTGCCAAAAACCAACCCCCACGTCATAATTCTAGTGAGACAACGCGGCCGGGGCCCCCTGAAGGGGCGCGTGAACCGGAGGAATCGTCGACCTTCTATGGCACGAGGATCATCAAACTCTAAAACCTACATCCTAACCCCCATGGGTGTTTGGTTTAGGGCTTAAACCCTTTTGACCGAAGTTCGCCACAGAGAACCCGAAAATGGGGATCACATGCCCTCAGTTGGGGTTTTTGTAAGCTTGGGGGGGTTTATATCGCGCAACGAAATACTCCCTGACAACGCTGGCTTAGGTGTTTTCGGGTGCCCTGTCCTATTAATACCCCTACGAAGCTAGATTGCACCACTTTCGTCCCAAAATTGAGCTTTTCACTTGCTTAGAGTAATTAACCTGGCACCCTAAACAAGGGTAAGTATACCAACAATGTAAGGTACACACTTCCCTTCTTTAGGGATACATAAGCTACTCCAGGTAGAGTGTAAACAGGGTAGGTCCAGGATTTGGGATGGTGCGGCTCCGCTTCTTGAGGCATGCATGGGATCCCGAACCTAAGCCCCAAAAATTTTAGTTTATTATTTGTTAAAAACAATTTTGCCCTAGTATAAGGAAGAGTCTGCTTATTTTGTGGGTAGTGCGTAAGCGAATAGCCAAAGTTATAGAACCCTCAACCGGCCCTCAACCAGGCAGGGAGGGTTCTCAGGTGGTACAAGCGTTTTGCGGGGGGGGGAGGGAAAGTGGCCCTAAACCCTAAACCCTAAACCCTAAACCCTAAACCCTAGGGAAGGCAGACGCTGAGTGGTGCATATGGTTCTGGAGACCTTTAGGGGACCGTAATTCGTAAACCTTGGCCCCGAAACCTTCGCCAGCTCTGAGAAGCTCAGGGTCGAACAAGCAAGGGAAGCTGAGACATCCAAGTAGAAGAGCTCGCGAGCCCCCCAGCTACCCTATATTAATACATATATATATATATGTATATGTAATAATATATATATATATATACAGTCTTCAGAAGAGCCTAAATCCTGTGAAAGGCTTCAGGGTGCTGGGACCATTGGCATGCCAGACTCCCCGCCTGACAAGCTCGTCCGATGCAGCCGCATGGTGCATTGGCCTCGGGGTTTAGGGTTTAGGGTTTAGGGTTCAGGGTTCAGGGTTCAGCGTTCAGAGGAGGGAATGGACCATGCCATACCCAAAAGTTAAGGCAGCTTGAACCATCATACCTGCCGTGGCATACTGCCTTCCTTCAGCTATCATTAGGATGCCCTAAGCCGAAACCCAAAACCGTAAGCCCTACACCCTAAACCCTAAACCCTAAACCCAGGGTTCAGGGTTTAGGGCTTAGGGTCTTTCATTCAGGCAAAACTAGGTTGCTCCTCGAAAAAATGTGGTCCAAAAGGGTCCTTAAACGGCGGCCCCTCTTTTGTTAGGGTACACAGTGGCCTTTGTTTGGAGAACTTATGATTTAGGCCGCTCCTGGACCTGAAGTTGAACAAACTCAAAGCAGCAAATAAACCAACAACATATAGATGCATAAATATAAATACAAAAACAATAAACGAATAAATAAATATATATATATATATATAACAATACAACATCGCAAACTCCAACCCCTAAACCCTTAAAACCAAAAAAAGGCAGCCCTTACAGCCCTTACAGCCCTTCAGCCTTGAACCCTGCAACCCTGAAACCACTAAACTGTTTTGTTGCTTTTGCTTAAGTAAGGAAACCCCAAGAGTCTAAAGAGTTTAAGTATTGGCTATATAAATAAGTTTGCGGCTTGGCTTGGGTCTCCATCGATGCAGGGTTCAGGGCTTTCGGGATTTGGGGTTTAGGACCACTGGTTGTGCTGAAGAATGGATCCAAAGTTACGCTGCCCTAGACCCTATAGGCCCTAGGCCCTGAGGCCCTAGACCCTGACCATAGACCCTAGACCCTAGACCCTAGACCCTAAACTCTAAACCCTAAACCCTAACCCCTAAACCCTAACCCTAACCCTAAAAAGAATCAGGAGCTTAAGCCCCCACTAACTTTCTGAAGTGCCCTGCCAGATTTCGGAAAATATCGATGGTGCCATGAGCTGAAGCCCCCCAAAACCCCCCCAGCCCTATAAACCCTAAACCCCAAGCCCTAAACCCTAAACCCCAAACCCGAAACCCCGAACCCTAAACACCTCTCAAAAAAACCTTAAGCCCTAAACATCAAGACCTTTGGAGAGGAGCCGCATCCGCGCCGTCCCGACGCCACGACGCCACGCCCTAGCCTGCGATGTGACTCGGGCTTGAAAGTTTCGGGTTTAGGGTTTATGGTTTAGGGTTTGGGGTTTAGGGATTAGGGATGCGGGTTTAGGGTTTAGGGTTTAGGGTTTTAGGGGTTAGGGTTTAGGGTTGCGGAATGTTGAGGAGACAGAGCTGCAGGTCTGCGGTAACCCGTAGGAAACATGGTTGAGGCAAACTTTATGGGTTTTGGGGACTTTGGGCTTAGTGTGGTTTCTTCCGGGTAGGAATTTGATGCAGGTAAACTCAGCAGTAGCCAGCAAAAGGACAGGCAAAAAACAACGGCCCGGGCCTAGCGAAGGCAGCGGGGGGGCTTAGGGTCTGGAGTTTAGGGCTTGGCCTAAATCTGAAGATTCTCGGCTGAGTTTCCGGTGACCCAAGCAAATTTGGGTACAGTAGGTGATGATGTTTGGGGTTTCTCAAAATGTCGATGCTTCTGGGGTCTCCCTGCTAGCATATTCTGTGTGTTTCGGGGTACCAAGAAGCCCATTAGCTAGGACAACCCCCCCCTCCCCCCAATGTGCCAAAGCAACTGGCAAGGAAGCTGGGCACTATCTGCCGAGCTGTGTTGCGGAACGAACGCAGCACGGCAACCCTTCAAGGCACGAACCCAAAACCCTAAAATTAAAACTAAACGAACCCATGGAGGGCTAAACCCTCTGACAACACAGGGGCAAAGGCCTTCGCTTGGGCCCGCGTCCGGCGACTCGCCTGACGTGAAGATGCGTTAGGGCCACTCGGAGTCAAGTTGCTTCAGGGGAGGGTGTAGGGTTTCGTGTTGAGACTTTAAGGGGCCCAGAGCAAAACTAGGGTATTAGAGTGGCCCTTATTCTACTCCATATTAAGGACTGCTAGCGTAAGGGGGGAACATCCCAACAGATACCCCAAACCTTCGGGAAAGCCGCATAAGTCCCTCTCGAGGGGGACTCTGGCTTCCCGGGGTTACTCTGGCAGGACGCCCTGTACCCCCGCATTTAAATTCCCTGTTAAGGACTGTTAATATAAGGGGGAACATCCCAAGCCTGAACCCCAAACAACAAACCCTAAAAAAAGCGCATCCTGACTGCACTGGAAGATTTCTGCGTTCCCAAAAACTCAAAATCACCCTGGTTTTCCAGCCGATAAACACTAAACCCCTCACCCTAAACCTTAAATCCCTGCACCTCCCTCCCCCCCCCCCCTTCCCCCCCCAAAAAAAAAAATATGGACAGCATCAGCCAGGCTGCCCTCCATGCCAGGAAACTTGACGTCCTCGAACCCTTTTCGGCAATGGTCCTGAGGCTGCGTGGAACTCGGTTTAGGGTCTCCTGGGGTTTTGGGGATTGTTTACCCTTATATAGGCTCAAAGTAGCCCACAAACCTTATCAACGAAGGCCTTTGGGCCAAAACCCTTAAAACAATGGTCCTCAGAGCCTCAGGGTTTGGGGCTTGGCTGCCGGGAATACAAGCCTTTGGGAGCCCATGGACTATAAAACGTTTGGGGTCTAGTCTAGGGTTTAACGACACACTTGGTTTCATATACCTCGATGAGGATTCTACCCTGAACCCTTAACCCTAAACGGCCCTAAACCCTAATTAAACCAGGGTTTTGGGGTTTTGGGTCTTATGGTTGGGACTTGACTTGAAGGACTTGAAGCTAGAAAACAAATGCGGGGGAGCAGTCGGCACCCTACAGAACAGTAGGGAAAGCACGTGCGCATGACTCATGACACTGCATGCTTGGTGCAGTCATCCAAGCGTCCTTGATCCACTTCTCCTCCACCTCGCGGGCACAACAGTAACCCTAAACCCTGAACCCAAAACCCTAAACACTAAACCCTAAACCCTACCGGTTCTGAAAAAATGGGGATTTGTACAGAGGCTTTGGGGGTATCTGGAGCGGCTAGGGGCCGTAGGTGTAGACGACAGCTTTTCACGTTTAGGCCGGGGCGTTTGAGGCAGAGACTTAGGATTTCTATGGCTGCCCTACACCCCAAACCCTAAACCCTAAACCCCAAACCCTAAACCCCAAAACCTTCTCCTTAAGGCAGTCGGGGAGCCCAGGTGCCCCTTCAAGCAGCAATGCCGAGCAAAGGTATGGGGGTTTCCGGTTTCCGAAAATGGGGGGGGGGGGGGGGGGTTAGGGTTTAGGGTTTAGGGTTTAGGGTTTAGGGTTTAGGGTTTAGGGTTTAGGGTTTAGGGTTTAGGGTTTTAGGTTTAGGTTTAGGGTTTAGGGGGGGGGGGGGGGGGGGGGGCGGGGTACCTTATTGGGGGTCCTTATCGGAATGGTGCTTTAAAGCCCTTTGGAAAATTGTTTATGAATAGGTCCCCTCAAAGGGAAAGAAGAAAAAACTAAATCATCCGAACGCACTACCCAGCTATTCTAAGGTCATCCTATCATTTGGGGGTCTACACTAGGGGGCCCCTTATTTTCGTAAACCCCCATATGTTGGTGTTCTATTTGTAGTGGCGAAGCACCTAATTCTAGATCAACACGTCAAACCAACTCCAAAAACGAAACCCGACTCCAAACTGACGAAGCTACTAAGCTCATATACATGAAGGTAAATCCGAAAAAACTGACTAAGTTACTAAGCTCATATACATGATGGTAAATCCGAAACCCCATAAGTTATTTGAAACAAAACGATCCCTCCCTTCGACTGGTGCCTCGCCAACATAGCCCAAGACCTGGACAGGTTTAGGGTTTAGGGTTTAGGGTTTAGGGTTTAGGGTTTAGGGTTTAGGGTTTAGGGTTTAGGGTTTAGGGTTGGGGCTAAAGGGTGTACTTGGAGGTTAAGGGTCTCTTAGTAACCGCTTCCCCTAATACTAAAATGCCCCCTAATTTTAAACATAATTTTTCCCGGACCCTGCCGGCACCCAGCCCAATACTAAACCTGTTTGAAAATTAGGGGGGGGAGGGGTTCAAGGCCTTCGCCCTTGAGTTGAGCCATTAGGGTTTCAGGGTTTAGGACTGAAGGCACAGGATTAGGATCCAGGGCTCCGGGCTTAGAGGGTTTAATCATTAGGTTTCGGAATTCAGGTTTTAGGATTTAGACCCCCCCTAATTTTAAATATTCTTCGGGCCCAGGCGAATTTCAGAATTAGGGAGGGGGGGGGGGGGGGGGGGACGGATTTAGTATTAGGGGGAAGGGACTAGGGGGGGGTTAGGGTTTAGGGTTCTTACTTGGAGGTTCATGGTACTTAGTAACCCAATTCTAACTATACTTACAGCCCAATTAAAACCCAATCTATTGGGGCACTTGAGGGGCCCCCAAGTGGGTTAAAACACACTTGTAATTGGGTAATATGTACCCTGAACCTCCAAGTAGGGCCAGGGCCTTCAACCATGTCCACAATTCTTCATAGCTCCCCAAATAGTAGTATTTCTGTATAATGAGGACCCAATTAGGTACCGCTATTTTCGGAAACCCCCGTATGTGGATAGGATAGATTAGGAAACGCTCCAAGATTGTACATGGCACTTGCGATTGCGGGTTCAGATTGTTCATGTTCTCTTCTGGAGCGGCCCACTATGGACAGTGATAAAGCAAAGCCGCGTGCCAGAGTGCCGAAACAGTTCTGAAAAGTCTGGAGCCCCAGACAGCACGACGCCGCGAGTCAACGCAAGGCAAAAGAGATCCTTTCACACCGTCCAGCTGAAGACCAGACTTGCCCAGACACCTGGGAGGATCCCAAAAGTAGATCCCTTGAAGGGTTCCTAAGGACACTACTTGGGGGGCTCTACTTTTTGGATCCTCCCAGGGGTCTGAGTGCCTATAGCGGGAAACAAACACAGCTATCTTAAAGGTAGGATGCACCCTTCGACTACAGTTCCACATGTCGTGGTTGCAGAATCTGAGTTAACCTGTGGACTTAGTCGGTGCTGGCGCCGAAGACCTGCCAGAAGGGGGACTTTTTACGGAAGCGTTTCGAAACCTTGTCGCTGGACGGAGCACATTCTCGCGCCTGCCCCCGTGTGCGGGTTCTCCACCGTACTTCAGGAGTTGCAAGAGCACTTTCTAGGTAGCCCGGTAACCATATTGTTAAAATAAGTTTGTGGGTTGGTTGCTTTACAAGGACCTCAAACCCAGAAAAAAAGGGGGAAAAAGGGCACCACTCATCCCACCCACTCTTCAATTTCGGAACCTTAAACCAGAAAAAAAGGGAAAAGGGCACCACTCATCCCAGCCCACCCAGTCTTGAAATCCAGCAAAGCTTGCAACGGGCAGCTGTCCGCCTGTCCAACCGTTGCGTCTCAAGATGTTCCACAGTTCTCGGGACAGCTCGTACTTCCTTGTCTTTGCTTAGGGTGTAGGGTTTAGGGTTTAGGGTTTCGGGTTTAGGGTTTAGGGTTTAGGGTTTCGGGCTTAGGGTTCAAGCAAACCTCAGCGACGGCCTCTGCGGGATTGAAGGTCCACACCCTAAACCTAAACCCAAAAACCCGAAAATCCCAAAACCCTAAACCCTAAAAACCTCGAAACCCTAAAACCCCCAAAACACAAAACCCAAAACCCCACAAAAAGCTTGAACCCTAAACCCTAATCCCTAAACCCTAAACCCTACACTGCCCTAAACCTTAAACCCTAAATGCTCCTGTGAGGTGCCTGCTTGCCGTCGTAGGACATGATCTGCTCTGTCAAGGGGTCGTAGAAGCCCGCACCTGCGCGGGTTTAGGGTTTAGGGTTTGGGGTTTGGGGTTTGGGGGTTTGGGGGTTTGGGGGTTTGGGGGTTTGGGGGTTTGGGGGTTTGGGGGTTTGGGGGTTTGGGGGTTTGGGGGTTTGGGGGTTTGGGGGTTTGGGGGGTTGGGGGTTTGGGGGTTTGGGGGTTTGGGGGTGTGGGGGTTTGGGGGTTTGGGGGTTTGGGGGTTTGGGGTTTGGGGTTTGACAGTTGGGGTTTGGGGTTTGGGGGTTTGGGGGTTTGGAGGGCTTAGAGGCTTTAGTGGGTTTAGATGGTTTGGGGGGTCTACAGGGTTTGGAGGGTTTAGAGGACTTGGAGGGTGTAGAGGGTTTAGAAGATTTGGGGGGTCTAGAGGGAGAGGGTTTAGAGGGTTTAGAAGGAGAGGGTTTAGAGGGTTCAGAAGGAGAGGGTTTAGGAGGTTCAGAAGGTTCAGAGGGCTAGGGGTTTTGGGCCTCTGGCTCTTAGCTGGGAATTCGGGAAGTGGGTACCACACATGACCCCTTAAAGGCCTGTAGCGGGACGACTTCCCATTTTGAGAACTGGGAAGTGGACCCAAACCCCACCACTGAGGGTGTAGCGATCACGTCGGCTCAACGGGCCCTGAACCCTGCTCCCCCAAAATCCCTCAAAAGCTTGCAGTGAGTCCTTATTAGTGAGGGCACCCATTTTCCTTCGTTAAGCCCCCAAAACCAAAGGGAAAAAGGGCATTACTGGAAGACCTAGTAGGTCAGATTTCACGGGGGTACCTTGCAACAGCTCAGGAAGGGAGCCATTAGCTCGAGCGTCCTCGACATAAGTTCAAGGGGGTATGTAAGGTTCCTTAGGTACCTACCCCCATGAACCCCCTCCCTTGAGAACCTTATCAGCCGCTTGCGTGCAGTTACACCTCACCCAACAAGCCGAGAACCCGTGTTAACCCCAGAGCGACCTGGTAGCCCAGTAACCGTATTGAAATAAGGTAGCCTTTTTGGGGTTGGTTACTTTCTAAGGGAACCTTGAACCAAACAAGGGAAAGGGTACCACTGGGCTCCAAGACGTCGTGAGGAGCACACGAGCCTCTGCCTACCGCATCGACCCGAAACCGGAGAAATGTTTAGGGTTTAGGGTTTAGGCCGCCCGAAATCCTCTCATCCCTCTTAAGCCTCTACTCACCGCTGTAGACCCTCCACATCCCCTAAACCCTTCAAAGCCCCTCTAAACCCACCCAAGCCCCGCCGAACACCCCTAAACCGACCCCTCTAATCCCCTCTGAACCCCCCAAACCCTGAGCTCTAGAGACGCACTGAGCCCTCCTCAGGGTTTAGGGTTGAATGTACTAGGGTTCTCCTAAATCCCCCACACCCCCTAGAGCCTGAGCTCTGAAAAGACACTAAGCTTGTTCTGTTCGCTCCTTGTTCTAGCAGTCCTTCATCGGGATTCTAGCACCCCCTGTGATAATCCCTGTTAAGGACTGCTAGCATAAGGGGGAGCATCCCAACGCCAAGCCCTAAACCCTAAACCCTAAACCCAAAACCCGAAACCCTAAACCCCCTAAACCCTAAACCCTAAACCCTAAACCCTAAACCCTAAACCCTAAACCCAGCCCTCAAAGCAACGGAGTCCCTGTTTCTGCTGGCAGCTTTCTTTTGGTGGCGCTCCGCTTCCGCCGGACGCGAGGCTTCCTGCTTTGACTTTGAAGCAGATAGGGCTCAGCCTTGGCTGCAGAGTGGGCGCATGGTTTCGGGTTTAGGGTTTAGGGTTTAGGGTTTAGGGTTTAGGGTTTAGGGTTTAGGGTTTAGGGCGAGTGGGTTTAGGGCGCACCTTGAGCACCCAAAACCTCCTTGTTGGAATCTACCTAAGAACCCTGGCAAAGACTTCACGGTAAGAGCCTACAAAGAAGTTGGCTTGGGCTTCCTAAGGGAGGGTTGAACACCCCCTGACCCCGAAGCCCTAAACCCGAAACCCCAAACCCTAGACCCTAAACCCGAAACCCTAAACCCTAAACCCTAAGCTGAACTGCTCTTGCTGGCCGCGGATCCCCCACGTCACCAAAGTACACACAAAGGCGCCGCTGGCCAACCTGGACATTTCATGAGGTCTGAAGACGGGGCTCGGGTTTCAGATGTCGGGTTCCGTTTTTGTATTTTTCTTGGGTTCAGGCTGTTTAGGGTTTAGGGTTTAGGGTTTAGGGATCAGGGTTTGGGGGTGTACGTTGGGCGAGATAAGGCTCCGGGGCGGGGGAGGGATCCCACACTTTGCAGACAAAAAAGCCCCAAAACCCCAGACCCTGAAAAATGAACCCGGATTAAACGCTAAACCCTAAACCCTAACCCTAAACCATAGACCCTACACCCTAAAACCTAAACCCCCAACCACAACAACATCCCCTTCAGAAGTACGGCCCAACAGCACATTTGACTGGCACATTGGACCCTGGAGACCCCAATCGGTAACCCCAAGCATGTCAGCGTTAGGCCCGCAGGCTTCCTTAAGACAAAGTTGTTTAGGGTTTAGGGTTCAGGGTTCTGGGTTCAGGGTTCAGGTTTACGGTTTAGGGTAAACCTCTTACGGTTTAGGGTAAACCTCTGAACCCTAAACCCGAAACCCTAAACCCCAAAATCCTGAACCATAAACCCTAAACCCCTAAACCCAAAGCCCCTAAACCCTAACCCTAGTTTCTGAACCAAAAGGTTTGTATAAGGGATTCTCAACCCATACCAAAAGAGCCGAATTAGGGACCCACTCAGATCCTACTTCGAGGTTCATGGTATTAAGTAACCCAAATATAATCACTGTACTTATAACCCAATTATAACCCCATTACGGTACTTCAGGGGGTTAAAAACGGTACTTATAACCCAAGTATAACCCTATTACGGTACTTAAGGGGGTTTATAACTGTACTTAAAACCCAAGTATAACCCTATTACGGTACTTAAGGGGGTTTATAACTGTACTTATAGCCCAACTACTACGGTACTTAAGGGGGTTATAACTGTACTTATAACCCAAGTATAACCCTACTACGGTACTTAAGGGGGTTTATAACTGTACTTATAACCCAAGTATAACCCTATCACGGTACTTAAGGGGGTTTATAACTTATAACCCAAGTATAACCCTGTTACGGTACTTAAGGGGGGTTTATAACTGCACTTATAACCCAAGTATAACCCTACTACGGTACTTAAGGGGGTTACAACTGGCTTAAGGCTTGAGAACTAAAAAGGCGCCTCTGGGCTTTGGGGTGACAAGCCCCCAGGCCCGGAGGGTTTAGGGTTTAGGGTTTAGGGTTTAGGGTTTAGGGTTTAGGGTTTAGGGTTTAGGGTTTAGGGTAGACCTGAACCCCCCATTCAATGAGATTATGACTGGCTTAGGGCTATAGGGTGTACCAGCCTCAAGCCCCAAGAGTCCCTGAAGCCTCTTCTCAGCCTGTAGCCTGCACCCTAAACCCTAAACCCTAAACCCTAGCCCTAAACCCTAAACCCCTAAACCCAAAACCCTAACCCTAAACCCTAAACCCTAAACCCTAAACCCTAAACCCTAAACCCTAAACCCTAAACCCTAACCCCTAAACCATAAAACTGTGGCCCTGGCAGGACTCCAGTAAACCCACAGCACTCGCGGCGACGCCAAAGGCTCCAACCGCCAGTTGCGGCCTCGGCTTAAGGGTCTCTTAGTAGGGCGGTTTAGGGTTTAGGGTTTAGGGTTTAGGGTTTAGGGTTTAGGGTTTAGGGTTTAGGGTTTAGGGTTTAGGGCGCTTAGGGTTTAGGGACTAAGCCAGAATTTTAGGCTCCACGGAAGATGTTAATTTTGTGGGTTAGGGTTTAGGGTTTAGGGTTTAGGATCCTAAACCCTAAACCCTAAGTCCTCAACCCTAAATCCTGGGATCTGAGAGGGAGCACCGAAGGAATCTCCCCGCGGGCCAAGGATTTCCTGGCCGCACTCGGAGGGGAAGATCCTCTCCTGGCTGGTGTTTTAATGTAGGGGCCTTAAGAAATAGATATAAGGTTTAGGGTTTAGGGTTTAGGGTCTAGGGTCTTGGGTTTAAGGTTTAGGGTTTAGAGGGCTTAAGAATTAGAATAGGGTTTCGAGGGGATATCAAAGTATGATTGTATAAGGGACCCTAAGGAAATACTCTTAGAACTTATTCCGACCCCTCTGTCAGGGGTTTTGCGGGCTAGGCGTTCGGGGTTCAGGGTTTAGGGGTTTAGGGTTTGGGGTGTAGGGTTTAGGTTTTAGGGACCTTGGTTGGAGGTTCAGGGCTACTTACAAGGCGGGTTATAGGTAGGGCAACTACGGCGATAACCTTCTTGAGCACTTATAACCTTCTTGCAAGATTCTAAGTACCCTTGAAGCCTTCAAGTAGGGGTATGGACGGCAGACGTGTTCTGGGACCCTTGAAAGCCTACGCATGGTACGTTGAGGACCTTGCACGTGCAGAGACTCTGCATTTAGGGAGGGTTTCGGGTGTGCCTCACACATTTCAGGGCGTCTGGGATTGGGCTTGAGGGTGTTTGGGTTTTTGGCTTTAGGGTATTAAAGCCAGACTACCAAAAAACCCTAAACCCGAAGCCCTACACCCTAAACTCTAAACCCTAAACTCTAACTCATTTTCGCAGGACTAGAGGGCAACCCAGCACATGCTGGCGAGGACTTCGTAGAGTACATGAAGTGCCGAATACAACCAAGTCGCTGCCCTAAACCAAAACGGATCTCAACTCTTCCGGGTTTAGGGTTTAGGGCTTACGGGAGCAACCTAGGAATAAAAAGGCTACCCTTTTTGATTCAAAGGGGCTTAGAAGGGAATCTAAACCCTCAGAAAAGGGGAAAAGGGCCTACTCTGGGTCCTAGTTGTCAAGGAACATTCTGGCCACGACTGCCATGCCTTGAGGGCTTACAGGGGTTAATTACTACAGGCAGAGTACATAGGAGCTTTTTCCTGGATAACATTGTTTTGGGGCAGGTAGAGCTAACTCATTCTCCCCTGAACCTCCCAGAGTA